TATAGCTGAAAAATGATGAAAGCATCTACCCACTTCATGACAAAGAGCTACTTGCTATGAAGTAAGCGCGTTATATTAGGGGTTCATCTGCTTGGCGCCGGATCAAGCGTCATCATAAACGGTGACGCAGTCGCTTCACCTCTCTCAGAGAATGGCTCGGTGGCTTTCCTTCTTTCGAATATGACTTTAGGGGGAAGTATAAGCCAAGCGAACACGATGTGATGGTAGTTGCTCTCTTCCTGACATGATTATGAGCTTGATCGTGTCACGAATATTTCGTCTCCATTTGAGGAACTAACTCACGTGGCCAATCCACGGGATCCTCAATATGTTCATTTTTCAAGCTCTTTGGAGTAAGGAAGACAAGTCTCAGGCGATCAATCATCGGCACGTATGCGGGCCAGCCTGCATTTAAATTCGATCGATATTGGCATCTTGTGCGATCTCACAGACATAGCAGATATCGCTTGCATTGTTGTACATTACAATAAGTATTTAAAGTAATGAATACTCTTTGAGGCCCAGGATACTGCCCTCAGTGGGATGTGGGCTGGACAAAGACTTAAGGCTCTATGAGTCAGCACTACTTGGAGCCTGGTATCTCCAAATGGGCGAGCACATACCTGCGCATACGCGAAACGTGCCAGTGGGTCAAACCTCGGCACTTTTGTATGCGCCAATCGCCAGTTTACCTATGTGCCTACAGGATGTTGGGAGTCCATCATTATGGATGTTGTGTTTATCCTTCCTAAAGACTGTGACCGCAATAAGGTAATTGTAGTATTCGCTGCCCGCTTAAGCAAGATGGATCTCCTAGAGGCAGTGACGAATTTCATCGATGGAAAAGGTACAGATTTGCTGCTTATCGATCTGTTTTTTTGTCAACACGGGTTGACACTAAAAATAGTCTCGGATCGCGATCCTCGCTTCAGTGGAAATAGTTGCTCTTCCACTTTCAAGGTGCTTGGAACTCAATCGGACGTGCACAAAGACGATCATTCGCAGACCTGTGGTCAGAATGAGCGAATTAATTGCGTCGTTGGCGACGTTCTTTATAGTGTTTGTGCTAAGTCGCCTAAGAGTTGGAGCTTAACTGTCCTTGTCATTGAATTTGCGTTGAACAACACCGTTCAAGCCTCAAACATCTACATTCCTTATATGTGAATAGCATCACGCACCCCCGCGTACTTTGCACGTTACTACTCCGTGGTTCTGGGCCTGGTGGGGGTGATTCTGCTGAAAAGCTTACTGAACTCAGCCTTGTCACTATGAGGAAACAAGTGTGCAAGTTTTTGCGACGCGCTTTAGGTCTTGATGCATGTGCTTGATGCAATGAATGAATCCCTTGACAAATAAAGAGCAAGCCGATAGTAAAGACCGAGGATGTGTTGATTCTTATGAAGTTGGAGAACAAGTCTTAATAGATGCTAAAATCTCCTTACAAACTCAGTGTCTTCCAACTTCAAGACAAAGTTGCGCCCACACTTTATCGGTCCGTTCACGGTCATAGCGAAGAAGGGCATTGCCTGCGCACTCGGTCTTCCGCGCAAGTTGCGCACGCACCAGGTGATTTACTTTGGATTGCGTAAGCCATATCATAGTCCTCCTCTCGTAGACCAGAAGGCGCTAGCACCTGAAGGAGAGACGTGGTCCCCGTTAAGTGCGTCTTTGTCAAGTTTTTCATCTCGCCATCCAGTCGTGACAGATTGTCCCTACCTCCTGCAGTCTTTTTTCGACCGAGCCGATCGATCCGAGACGGTTCGTCTGCTCACGCAACTAAGCCGACTCAGTAGATCACTGTTCACGGGCGCGTTGCACTTAGTCGAAGACCTCCCGGATGTGCTTTCTCATTCACAGACTGATCCAGTGCAGTCTGAACGTGAGCGAAAGACTCGCTAAGTCGCGCTATCTCTGACACCAAGTATCCGTGTGCCTGTACCGATACGCCGACCCTTTCCTGCGGTGCTCTACGAGCAAGGGGACTTGAATTTACATTTGAAAAAGCTGCTGAAGCGGCATCGTCCTCAAGGTCAATGATAGTATCTGGTGAAGTGGCGCGGGTACCCTGAGTCTGAGAACTCATCGGAGTTTGAGACACCCCTCCGGCAAGATTTCCCGTACGCCATTAAAGTTTTTGAATGTCACGCTAAGGGTCAGCTTGCACGCCATTTCTCTTCCTACCAATCGGTGTGGGGTGTGCGGCTTGCTCACCAATACCGAGTGATCCGCACTGTCTGCACAGTCAAAAACAGTGATGGTTTAACCTGCAACTGGCTTTGCGTACTAGGTGAGACAAGGAGAACGTAGCTGGTCTTTGACCATCATCTTAGCAGATTTTTAATGCAGTTTGAAATATAAATGAACGTCGGTCTTGGAGGCAATATCTCTAAGGGTATTTGTACTGGGCAAGTGACATGCCGTAGAGCCCAGCGAGTGAACGACTTTTATCTACGGCCTCACTCTCTTCGGGAATACAGAAAGAACGGGATCGTTCGCTGCGTGGGTACAAAGGAGCCACATTCTTATTCCGTCAGCTTGGTTGATAAGCATACATCTTCGTCACTTCAGATGTTAGGTAAATCTATCTATGAGTATCTCGTTCGGCAGTGTCGTCGGGCAACGTAGCCTCGCGCCCTGTGGAATAAGTAGTCAAGGACTGCTCTGTGAGCTTTCGCAACAACTTATCAACGCTCAAAGGCTTGAAGTGATAGTCCGAATGCACCTTTGCAACAGCCGATGTTTGAGATAGACGTCTAGATCTCTCATTATATTCGATATAGCGTTGCTGTTGCTCATCGATACCTTTAGTGATGATATGCTCATCAAGAGTGGTTGAGGCACACAATGCTGTTAGCGCTTGATCCGCGCTACGTTCCGGGAATGGGTTTGGCGCTGTGTAAGAAAGTTTGCACGACACCGAGGTGGCAGGTTTGGGGATTTCATCTTCTCCCTGACAGTGTAACTGTCATAATCAGCGATGTTTTCTTCTCGTATGATGTCTTCTAAAGACTCAAAGGAATGTGAAGACTTCTCCGTTTGATGAACAAGGTACCGTAAGCACAACCGTGAGGTTATCTGCTCTATTCGAGCTACTTCAATGCGTAAGGTGAAGACCGTCGATTCGGAATATCAACTGTTTGGGGGAGGAAAGTGTAACGGTATCATAAAAACAGTTGTGATTAACAGGTACGCTGGTGTGGTACACACAGAAAGAGATCTGTGTCACCGATTAGGCGTACTTTGCATCATGTACGCTAAGTGATTATTTCGCACCCCATAGACTATGGTTAGAGGATTTTCTATCATAAGAGGGTCTCTGTAGAGGCGACAAGTTCTGGTGTGGGACACAAGAAGAACTACAATATAGGACTGTTCGATTCGGTAGCATAATTTTGAGGTTCGAGACGTAAGTAAGTTTGTTATCACTATATTTCAGCAAATACATCCAGTTCCTATTCTGCTCAGTTTCAGACACGTGTCTCTTAAAGACGTCTCCGGTCAAAAGAATTAAGGGACAGAGTTAAGTACTATTGAGCAGTAGTGCCACGTGATTCTTGGGATTCTTGGTCTCCTGAGACAGGACTCACAAGCTTAAGAGCTTGTACATGCACTAAAATTTAAAGTCTAACCAAGTCTGCAAGACTTTAGACCCTTTAGCTTAATGCCCGCTTATTTTATTAAACGAAGAGATTCAACAAGTCTAAAAATCTTGTTTGACCTAGGCGTAAAGGCAGCCTTCCCACAAAAATTAGTCAGGATGTTGTCCAGATTTGCATTCTAGAGAGGCCACCTGGGTACTACAGATAAAATTATAAAGTTAAAGAATGTGGTCTTGGGTGGCATGGATCTGCTATATCAGAATATTTCAAAAAATACGAACTATAAAAAAAACTTAAAAAACTAACGAATTAATACTTCCCAACCAACAAACTTTGCATATAACTATCACCTGTAATTAATAAAAGCATTAAAAATTACGTAAAGATAAATTAGACATAAATCTCTTTAAATGTGGATCAGCAAATTTTTATATAAATTTTAATACATTGTCCTATTTTAGTACCACTACCATCGGATTAGTTTTATTTTACTTTAAAGCTCATAAGTAAATTTTATAAATTGAGATATCGAGTTAACTTGTAATTGTTTTTTACTTTTATGCTTAAAATTAAAAAAATTATTAACCTAATAATTCTTTTTTAATGATGGAAACCACAACAGAAATGGTTTTTTTCCATCATGGTTTAAGCCGCTTTTAGCTCTCGTGGCAAGTCTCCACTTGTTGTGCTGACGGGGAGGCTGAATTCGAACGACTATTTTTGTGCGGTGTCTGCATATCTTATACCATTTGCGCATCTGAACTATGGTACAGATTTCATTTTCCAACAGGACAACGCAAGCATACATGATTCGCACCGTTGCTGTAACGGGGCAACCTGAAGCTTGTACTTATGACAGTACAAGCTACTTATTTTAACGACAGAATGAGGCGGTGCCGCGCAATCGCACGTACACTGGTACGTGCAGAGGAAGACGGTCAGGAGAAGCGAGTACTTGGTTAAAGTAAAAAGTAGAACTATATTTATAATAGTTAATGTCTGCAATAAATCACTGTTTACCCTCATCTAACTATGTCTAAATACAATTGTGCATATCAACTATCTGCTCACCACTCATTGCGTGCGTATGTCGTGGCGCGTCTTCGTTAGTTGATATAATGGCCTATATCAACCAATTAGGAACTGCTCGTAAGTGCTGCAGAATATTTGTCCTTATGACAATATTCTGAGAATATAACTCTTATAGTTATATTCTACTAACAATTTCTTATAAATTGTTATGTAACGTTTCACCCCGTTACATCACCCCCCCTTAACCATCAGTCACTTTAGTGACTGATTGACTAAATGGATACTCGTCCCAAATCAGTTGGGACGGGGTTTGCACTTGTTGGTCCGAGTCCACATTCCAACAGTTTCATCGCATTGGTTAACAAGTCCATGCGGTGCGCGAACAAGGCCGCTGAGAGCGCGTCTGCACGTCTCTGTGCAGACGCCGAAGCAGAAACCGCTGCACCAGATGTGTCATCGGTTGCTAAAGCGTCTCAGCCTGTATCACCTGGCGATGCAGGCGCTCGTCATGAAGACACTCATGTCTTCACAGAGTATGAGCTCGGTGTCTCATACTCTCCTGATAAGAAAGAGGGATCTGTATCAAGGGGGGTTGAAACCAAGCCGCCTGCCAAGCGTGGTATGGATGATGCTATGCGTCGTAGCATCTTTGGTTCATCCGACGAATCAGATGAACCATCGCCAAAGCGAAGGCGCTCGAGATCGCAAGACTCGGGCGCTCACAGTGGTGTCGGTTCTCCAATTGACACCTCTTCGCAGCGAGGTACCAGTACTTCTGTCGGCACGTCGCAAGAAGAGAGGGACCGCAACGTGTTTCGTCATTCTCTTGAAAAGAAGGCATAGCTTCCTCCAAAGTCAGTCATGGATCACTTGTCGTCGCCGACAAGTGATCGCTATCGAACACGATTGTCCGATTCGTCAAGGATCCATCACCTTGACCCCAGTGCGAAAAACTATCGCGTTTAAAAAGAGTTCTTCATCGATGCTTTCTTCAAACATCGATGGTACAGTGGGAATCACAAACGTGATGGTTTCTCTTTGCTTCAAGCATGGAACGTCTACATCCATAACCTTGAGGATGTAGGTCGTGACGCTTGGAACGACAAACTTATCAAAGCTCGTGATAAGTTTGAAAAGCGAACCCCGACAGGTGCATGCTATAAGCTGCATCGTTGTCTAAGTAGGGTGGGTTACCCTGTCTTTCCTGGGGAGACTCGTGCCCGTGTTGTGTAAACAACTCTTCGCGCACACCTAAGGAGGCTTACCTCCTTACTAGCCCGTGGTGGCGCGTCGTATCTCTAGTGAGATGTACGAAGGGATTGACAACCTGAAATCCCTTTACGACCGTGCCAGGAAGACTTTCTCCGGCGGTCCTTCTGCAGCACAGGATGTGCCGCGTCGTACTGCTCGACCAGACCCAGTACGTCGATCATCAGTTGGGAGCGGGGCTCCCAAGAATCCCAGGACGGGGGATAGCCGCGCCACCGGACGAGGTAACTCGTCCGACGTCCGTTCACGTCGCGGTGGTTCAACAGCTGCTCAACTAGATAGCGCTGGCCACCGCGAGAGTCCTCTAATGGAGGTGGAGGAGGAGGAAAGACGCTCTCCACACGATCATGTGGATCGGTGTGTATCCGAGAGCTTCTTTGATCGCGTAACGCAAGGGTTACGCGACGATCTCGAACATGAGCGGAATAGGCGTCTCCAAATGGCGGACACTGCCTCGAAGCATCGAGCTGAGTTTGCATTTGCTCAGCTCGAGAACGAGAGATCTCTGACATCTCTTCGTGACGAGCTAAGGGTAGCTCGTGGGATTGCTGATCGGTCTCGGGATGAGATAGCTGCTCTTCAGACCCTTGTTGATGCCCACCATCGGGAGCACAAGGCTCGCTGCGAGATGCTTGAGCGCAAGGGCGTTCTTCATCGGAAGAAGCAGCGTACTGATGGTACGGCTTAAGCCGACCAACGTAAACGTGGGATTCGTTCGCATCTTACGTGGTAACTCGATCGTTTATGCATTGCCTAGGCGGTGCAATACACGAAATGGGCCAATGTACTTGGGTAGTAGTTTACTGCTACCCAAGTTAGTCACTACATGCTTTGGTAGATTAACCGTAGACAGTAGGACTAAGTCATCTTTATTAAATAAAAGAGTGTTTGCCCTTCCATTCTTGTCAGCGTTTTGCTTTTGCTTATCCACCGCTTCGGTGATGGATTCTTGCACAAAACGGACTACCGTTTCACGAGCCATAATATACTCATCTGCTGACTCGTTAGCTTCAGTGCGCTGTGAGTGCACTGCAGCGACATCAATCTTGTCTTCAGTGAGGGCTCCCTCGCTCTCACTGGCATCATCTTCTTCGATATCGATGTTGTCGATATCGGCTTCAAAAAAGCAAGGACCTCATCGTCAGAGCGTGATGAGCGTGAACCAAATCGGTTTTTGCTCGCGCGAGTCTCCCCCCCTTAAACCAGAGTTACACTCGAGTAAGGTGGGTACACGCGGATGGCGCAAGCCATTCACGTAAAACGGTGTATGTGTCGTGGACGCATGCACCGAGTTGTTGATGGCAAACTCTACCATTGGCAAAAACTCACTCCAACTCTTAAAGGAGTGTACGTATCCTCGAAGTATCTCTTCAAGGACACGATTGGCACGTTCCGTCTGACCATCTGACTCTGGATGATCAGATGTCGACATCTTCAAGCGCGTTACGAGTGATTTGAACACGGAACGCCAGAAATCAGCAGTTAAGCGTGAATCTCTGTCTGATACGAATTCGCGGGGCAACCCATGAAGTCAGAAGATGGTGTCAATATAGACACAAGCACAGCCACTTGCTGTGATTGACTCTGGTACAGCCACAAGGTGTACCATTTTGCTGAATCTGTCAACAAATACGAGAATACCCGTATTCCAGCGTGCGTCTTTGGGTAACCCGAAGACGAAATACATTGAGATGGATTCCCAGCACTCTGCCAGAACCGGTAGAGGCTGTAAAGGCGCACGCAGTGAAGGACTTGACTTCACTCGTTGACAGACTTCGCATGCGCGAACATACTTTCGCACAAACTGATACTGGCGGGGCCAGTAAAAGTCTCGACTCACCGTGAAATAAGTTTTCTCCCGGCCACGATGTCCTCCTATAGGAGCATCGTGATACTCGAACATGATCCGCAAACGCAGATCAGTATCATCTGGAATGACAACACGTGGTGTGTCACCAGAAACGGCTGTATAATACAGTAAACCGTTGCGAGTAGTGTATCGATCTGATGCAGATCGATACGCAAACGACAATCGTTTCAGCGATTCTCGAGATGGCTGTGATAGATGTGTCAACAACTTCACAACCTCACCATCTTGGGTATACGCCCGCCTCACATCATCATGCAACGTTGAAGATGGGACTGAGGACGTCATAACCGCAACAGTGGCTGTCTCACTGTTGGGTTTCGCGACTGTTTCAAAGTCGGGACGACGTGAGAGTGCATCAGCGACGACATTAAGTCGTCCTGGTTTGTACTCTACCGTAAAGTTGTATTCTGCAAAGAATGACAACCACCGCGCCATTCGTTGTGAAAGGTGCGGGTTGTTCACTGCCGTGCGTAATGACGCATGGTCAGTGTAAACAACGAAGGGTCTATCTCCTAATAGATAGACTCTGAACTTCGCGAGTGCATACTTCATGGCAAGGAGTTCCTTGTCATGCACTGGATAGTTCCGCTCAGCTGGTTGCAGCTGACGCGACTGATAGCAGACGACGCGTTCAACGCCTTCAAGATCGTACTGCATTAATGCACAGCCGATTGCGAAATCGCTGGCATCACAGACCACATGAAATGGCCTGTCCTGATCGGCTATTGCTAGGACTGGGGATTGTATCAAGCTCTGCTTGATACCCTCAAAGGAGCGTTGACATTCAGCGTTCCATAACCACCTCTCGTTCTTTTTCAACAAACGAGAGAGTTCCACAGTCATCTCGGCGTAATTGCGTGAATACTTATGCAAATACGCCGCTAGCCCAAGGAATTTTCGAAGACCTTTGACATCAACCGGCACAGACCAGTCGGTGATCGCCTTGATCTTTTCGGGATCAGGACGTTCACCGTTCTTACCAACGATGCACTTAAGAAGTGGTATTTCGCTTGCTGCAAATATACACTTCTTGTAACGGGGTGAATCGTTACATAACAATTTATAAGAAATTGTTAATAGAATATAACTATAAGAGTTATATTCTCAGAATATTGTCATAAGGACAAATATTCTGTAGCACTTACGAGTAATTCCTAATTGGTTGATATAGTCCATTATATCAACCAACGAAGACGCGCCACGACAGACGCACGCAATGAGTGGTGAGCAGATAGTTGATATACACATTTGTATTTAGACATAGTTAGATGAAGATAAATAGTGATTTATTGCAGACATTAAATATACTAAATACAGTTATACTTTTTACTTAAACCAAGTACTCGCTTCTCCTTACCGTCTTCCTCTGCACGTACGAGTGTACGTGAAGTTACGAGGCACCGCCTTATTCTGTCATCAGAATAAGTAGCTTGTACTGTCACCAGTACAAGCTTCAGGGTGCCCCGTTACACTTCTTGAGGTTTGCATACAATTGATACTTTCGCATGATTTTAAGAACCTGTCGGACGTGGTATCTGTGAACCTCAACGTCCGACTTTCCATCGATAGCCCGACTATGGATGAATACGTCATCGAAATTACTCGGTGCGAATTCTCGTACTGGTCTCAACAGATGTGATACACATCTGTTGAACGTGGCAGGGGCATTAATAAGCCCTTGTGGCATTACTAGCCATTCCCAGAGCATGCCGCTAGGCGTGCTAGCTGCGGTATAGGGTATGTCCCGTTCCCGCATAAGGATTTGATAGAAGCCATCCATCAAATACATGGACGAAAAGATGGTACTCTTTGACATACCATCTATGATTACGTCCTTCCTTAGTATCGGCGTCGGAGCCGGTACCGTTGCAGCGTTCAACTTGTTGAACGCGTGCACTATCCGCCATTCTCCTGTAGCTTTTCGCACACAGAAGATCAGATAGCTATGTGGGGAAGTTGATTCCCTTACATGGCCCGCAGCTAAACGATCGGCAAAGAACTTGTCGATCGCAAGTACTTGTTCACGAGGCTGTGGCCACTGCTTCATGAAACAGTACTTCGAGCCTGGTTTAAGCTCGACCTCGTGTCGAATACCTTTATCCTTCGGTACTCGCACGGGACAGTTTCAGGGAGTACATCCTTGAATTTAACCAGATCTTCATAGAGAGGATTTGTCTTGAGCGATTCCCACGATTGGGAGTCATATCGCTCGATTCGTGTCTTTTCATCTAGGACACTCTCGTCCATAGATGAACTACTGAGAACTCTCTCATTCTCAGTAAACACTGTTGCTGACCTTATGTCGGCTACGCACTCGTCGTCAGCGACGAGTACGCAGATCTGCTTGATTTTGCCACTACGCAGATCACGCAAGAACCTTTTATGTTCGAGCTTTGGCAACTGAGTGATCTCCGAAGTCAACTTCGGAGGCGCAATCAGAGCAAGTGTATAAGCGCCTACACTTGATCCGTTATTGACTAGGACATTCAATGTCTCTGTCATTTCCTGGGGACATATTCCCTCAGGCTTCGAAGGACTTATTCCTTCGGCTTCCCGGGGACTTATTCCCGCGGGTTTCGGGGAACTTATTTCCGGCGTACTTGTAATATCGGGACTTATTCCCTTAACTTCCTCTAGCTGTGGTTGCGCAACCACAGCGAGATCCTCTACGAAGGACTCTCCAGTCGATCTAGGATTATCGTTT